ACACACACACACACACACACAGACGCATACACACACACACATACACACACACACATGCACACACACACACATACACATACACACACCACAAAGATACAAAAAAGCACAAATAAGGAGAGGTGTGGCTTATTTAAAAATATGTTAACAAGTCTTTTCCCAAATACTTCCACAATAGCTCAATTACTAAAGTTTCAGTCTCTCTGTCCATCTTTTTCTCTTGGTTGAGCACATTTCTCAGGAATATGTACGAGTACTTTAACTCCTCTACTTGCTTGATTTTTGCTGCTGTAGACACCAAGACGGAAAAACAGGCAGAGAAATAGAAACCAGAATTAAACAGGCCAATGTTGTGACTTACCAACTGACACCATTGCTTTCACACCCTAGCACTCTAGCCCTAGAATCACAATGGAAAGAAACCGCCCGCTCATAAACTGCAACGTCATTACCGTCACTGTGCTACCAACCCAAAACATGGGCAACAAACAATAGTCACCAAAGTAAAATGAATGCCTGTGAAATGACATACCTTAGAAAAACGTTGAACATAAGAAGAGACAGGGAGAGAAACTAGATTGTGAACAGGTTGACTGGACTCCATGCTTGAAGTACATAGACGAACAACAATAAAACTCGTTTGAACATCTCTCAAAATTATCACCAGACATTATAGCAGCGAGAACGTACAACCAGAAATCAGACAGACGGATACAGAAGAAGAGGCAGGTCCTGGAAAAGATTAACAGAGAGGTTCAGAGAAACGCTGGGTAAAAAAACATGTAACCATGCAGTAGGCTATACAACGAACAAGTAAAAGACGTTTACTTCCCTCCCTTGACATCGTAATGCAACAGACACCACAAAAAGTAATAATAATGTAGCTAAGACTAACAAAGTAAATCAACGTAATGAGTCCACGGTCATAAATCAAGCTGACTCTGGCTCCCGATAAAGGTGTGACAGAACTGTTGCTACAATTATTTACATGATTATACTTGCTACAGCCATGGAAACGGAATGAATCGTGACAGTCGCAAACAATCCAGTACACAGACTAATCAAATGCAACCTCCAGTTGGTTTCATTTGTATAGCACCGACTCCGGGGTCAGTATTCCTGTGATATGACAGTGAGTTGAGGTCTCGATTTTTAACAGTACTTCCCACGCCAGTTTTCGCAGCCGTTTTTCCTTGAGTGTACAAAGCACTCGATGTAGCGGCTTGAGCCATCCAAAAAGGTCATTAGACCCTGGGCTCGATTCGTTCTCTTCGTACTCTCGCAGTCTGTGGCCACGTTGTTTGCTCTCTGAGAAGAAATAGCAGAGACGGCCATAATCATAGGTTGGTGCTAGGTTCATTGCAGGTTCGGGTTATGTCAGCAGCGTGGGTGGGGCCGAAGCAATGCCCTTTCAGTAAACACATACTCTGCTCTGAAATCGAATCGAACAGAACGAATGTCCGCAATTTTAGACCACCAGCAAAAAAACTTACATGCTTCGCTACCCTAGAATTATAAAGTTCCATCTGCTCAGTTGCTAGTTTTGAGAAATTTGACGTTAAACAATTTGAGTTTCACAATATGTTAAGTAAGCTTTTTCGAATTCAATTCTTTGAATATCTCAATAAAGACTCCGAATAATCTTAAGAATTTTGGATGAGTATATAGAACCTTTGGTTTCTGGCCTCGTGGCCTTGTTAACTCAAAGCGGCCAAAAATGTCACATAGAACATTGTAATTTTAAGGTAGCGGCTTACTACCCTTCTTTTATATCTGTTCACCAGTAGCACAGTACGCAACTTTTACTGAGTGAAAATTTGTTATGTGACGTCCTCACAAGTACCCGGCCCATTATCTCTAAAAATTTTGGAATTACTGCAAACTAGAGCTTGAAAATGTCAGCTCATTAGTTCAAATAGATCAAGTTTGCTTTGGCTGGTGAAATCACACAAAAAAGAAGTAACCCATGCTCCCAGGGCATTGTATTAGTCTGCAAAGATAGTAACCCATTCTAAGATCGCCAGCAACTTAATTGGCCGAAAATGTAGATCCTAGGAAAGTACAAGCAAAGTATCACTCAACTGGCAAGCTGGAACGCGCTGATTTTTGCTGCTGTGAATTCTCTAAATTTACACGTCATTCCCACTCCTGTTAGTCCATGCTTCCAGAGATTCTTGTTTTATCAGAGAGCAATTCATTCCATCTAGTTCTGCTCTCTTTGCTTTACCAGTGGCCATACGCAAGTGGAGGCAAAGTATACTTCCACGGTTGAGCGTACTCAGCAATATCAAAAGTTTAGGTTTACATCATAGATCATGTATATTTTTATGAGTCAGTCGGAAACAGAGTGACGCCCCGTTATGTTTATGACGTACTCTCCGTATTGATAGTGACAAATAAACAAGACCCAAGGCCAAGCGTAATGCCCTGGGAGGTGTAAGGGACAGGTGTATTTATCTAAACATTTGGACCCAACTCAAAGATCCGCACAGGAACATATTCCTTCTCGGGCATTACACAACGCTCTAGACCAGCGGTTCTTAACCTGCGATCGATCGAACGCCACTATGTTCGACGAGTCAGTCTCGGGGGGGGGGGGGGGGGGTCAGCGGAGGTCAGGACACACAAACACGGTATGTGAGGTGTGTATATTTGTGTATGAGTTTGAGTATGTGAGTTTGTGTCCATTCCGTTCACCTCACTCAAGTAGTCTGATGAAAGTATGTATGATACTTGCGAGGTTCAGTACTTTCAGCAATTTAAGAACAACTGCTCTAGACGTTTTTATCATAGCACTGTTTAGCATGGCATTCTGTCGTACTGGAAAATTAGCAAATATGAGTGAAATGGTACATTTCACGGGACTTGAAGATAGCAACAACAAAGTCCACAAATCCGGTTGAAAATCTTCTTTGGTTCTCCAGGTTGGAATTCTTTTTTTTAACGGCACAATGTATTATTAACCAAAACCTATTTTAATTAGATATTATGTGGATGCAGGGGAGAGACAGGCTAGTCCAAAACGACCTACCAATCAATGGCATTATTGTCTCTACCAAAATATCTAATGATCTGGATCTTCTTGTTCTACTTAGTTTTTCCGGTGATAGGATGTTGCTTCTTGAACCTTTCAGCAAAATAAAACACAGTGTCTCTTGCTATTCTGCCTGCCCGAGTTGTTTTGGTTCCAAAGCAGACTTATACGCCATGTTCCTATCTTCTGTTATGTCTCCCCCTTCCTCTCTTGCCATCAACCTTGCCTTTCAGAATATGTTTCTCGAGTGAATCATGGCGATTGATATGCTCAAAGTAGTCAAATTTCAGTTTCATTGCGTTGTGGAGAAGTGCTGATGCTTCTATGCTATTGTTCCATGTACTTCTTCATTTTTAAATATCTGTATCCAGGATAATTTTAAGTTCTTCAATAACATTGCGATGGCCCATGCTTTACATCCATATATTGCAGTGGGGAATATCGTACTTAGAATTCTGGGGGGGGGGGGGGGTCTGTTTGTTTGTTTTTTTGCATTGACCTTCCAGATGAATGTCCTTTTTTTTCGATTTCGAAGTTGTGATTGCAATTCTCCGTTTAATTTCTGAGCTTGCTGTCCATGCTTTTTAAAAATTTACACGTAGGTCTAATCTTCTTTTAATCACTGTGTTCTTTGACAGGTTTTATTAAATACGCTAACCCTCTTGGTGTTATGTTAAGGAATGCAGTGTCATTTGCATATAGTAGGTTTATCAAATATATTCTCTGTTTTGCTGATTCGTCAAATTCATATTTTATTATGTTTTAGATAATTGACTGAAAACCCTATTGTACAGCAATCTGTCGTTCCTCTTACATAATGTGCATACAAAGGAACTCAAATTCTTCAGAGACGGCCAGAAGAGGTACTTGAATAGCTTATGAAGAATCGTACATAAGAAACAACGTTCAGCGATCCCCCGGTAATTTGAAGCCATACGTGAAAATGAAAACAGCTTAGGGGGCTCTCGTGGCCCCGGGGTTTCGGTTTTCGCCTCTCATTCAATAGGTCCCGGGTTTGAATCCGGACAGCGACGGAAAATCTTCTTCTCTAAAATGTTCTCCTTTCATTTGCTTTCCGGGCTCTCAAATCATGTTCTGTTGTCTATTTTCCTCCCCATTTCTGCCCCTCCCCGTTCCCTTCTGCCCCCTCCTCTGGGCCCCTGACTCTTTCTGCAGCCATTCTACTGCTACTCCTTGGCTCCTACTTACTGCTGTCTTTCAGCCACACCCCTGATCGTTTGTAGGTAAGATCTAACACCTACCCTTCTCGGACAAGGGCGAAACAATCGCGGAGGTCCCGTGGGCAAGTTAAAGATCCCTTGGTGGCCCTAAAATCAATAAGAGTTAGCTTCGGTCGCCACCCGGGCAAAATTCAAAATTCCTACCAAACTGAAAATATTTGATGTGTCCCGCGAGCTCATATGGCCTTATGTAGTTACGAGCGCCGTAAAACACTTACCCCACCTCCGAAAAAAAACACCTAACGAAACACACCAAAAAAAACATTTTCAACGAGTCCTAAAGAGGGCGCCTGGCTGGTGTAGATCTAATACGTGGTGCCCACTACGGCTGGATCAGGCCGATCGTATAACCAACATTGAAGTCCAAAAGGTAAACTGAGCATGCTAAACGCATCTAATGTCACTGATCAGGAGCAGTCAGGGGCAGACAATGGATATAGAGAGAATGTAGATGCCCTCAAAGTGCAATAATTTTTCTTAATTCGTAAATCACTTTTTTTTTCTTTCTTTCGGAAGGGAGTTGGTTTTTTTTTGGGGGGGTCTTCTTGGTTTTGGTCTTTGTCTCGCAAAATTTACTTTCACCATCTCCCCAGTGGCAATTGTGCACACTTGTAATACCTGATGAATAGAAGTTGAACACATTTTCAAAAATTAAGCGAATTTACAGCGTCACAAGGAATTGTATATAAATGATAAGAAAAAAATGTACCGCAAGGAAAGTTTGAGCCTTAAATTTAAAACGAAGAGAAAAGGACCAG